GTTTCATTTGTAGTCGAATTGGACACTAGTTGAAGGATTGTGAATCACTGGGATAGCTAGATGAAGAGGGCTTTGAGGATCTCGATGAGCAAGAGCTATCCTTTGGTTTGTGGCTTAGGGCTTCCCCCCTTCCAAGACTCTCAGATGAACATAAGAAGAAAGATTACATCTCGAGTACACGCAATAAAAACCTTTTTAATGTTCCTTCAAGCCAGAGCAGATTTGGGACAAAAGGGAATGTGAAAGACAAAGAGGAGTTAGAGGTTGAACAGATTAATGAAACAAGAAGGAAAACACAGTAGGAGGGAGGGGGGTACATATATCCAAGGATTCCAAAAGGGCAATCTGTTGGAGATAAAATCGGTGGCGGAGTCATTGGGAGCATTTGATATCTCAGATAAAGGAAAAGATGTTGAGGTCACCTCTAGGGAGAAAGATGCTAAAGGGAAAAAGTGGGCAAAGAGAAAGGTGGGAAAAAGGTGGTTCCTAGTAAACAAAATCTGTTGGAATTTGAGGGTGGGAAGCGACAACTCATTAACGTTATGATTGTTGAGGGTAATCCGGAGGATGTGGTAGCAGTGAAAAGAAAAGAAAGCAGGGGCCTGTCAAGAATCCAAACCTAATCACAAGACATGAGGTGGCATTGTAGGACCAACACCACCTTTAACAATGAAAATCATAAGCTGGAACTGCATAGGGTTGGGGAGTCCCCGTGCAGTTCGAGCCTTGTTGTGGCTCAATCGTTTAGAAAATCCCGACATCTTATTTCTTATGGAAACGAGACTCAAATCTCGGAGGTGAAAAAAATTAAGGACATGAGTGGTTTTGAGAGATGTTTGGCGGTGGATTGCAATGGGAGTGGTAGAGGGCGGGCATGGGGCCTTATGCTCCTTTGGAAGGAGAAGGTGCAGATAGATATCCAATCTTATTCTCTGAATCACATTGCAAGGAAGGTGATCGATGAAGAGGGAGAGGAAGTTTAGCATATCAACGGTTTTTATGGTTTCCCTGAGGAACATAATAAAAGACATACTTTGGCGCTTATACAGGAGGTTGTTAGGAGAGAATGAGATTGGATTATTTGTTTTTGGGAACCTCAATGATGCAGTTTCAAAGAATAAGAAACTGGGAGGAATTAACATATATGTTAACCAACTTACTTTGGGGAGGAAAACTTTGGAGTCATGTAACCTTATTGACCTTGGGTTCGAAGGGTATCCGTTTACATGATCTAACAGAAGGCAAGAAGGGGATAATGTGTAGTTCTGTTTAGATAGACTTTGGCTAGTGATGGCTTCATTAACCAGTTTTCTCCTATCAGAGTGTTCCACCCGTAACGGTTTCAGATCTGACCATGCAGCCATCAACATCATTCTTAAGGCCACATCTGGGGAAAGCATGAGGAAAATAGTTCGACTGTTTAGGTTTGAAGAAGCTTGGTCGTGTGTACCAAAGTGTGAGTCAGTTGTTAGAAAATTATGGAAAAATCAATCAGGGGGAGTGTGCACAAGTTGAAGGCGGTGGAAGGCCTCGATGAAGCCTTCAAGGAGTATAGGATTGGAACCATATCTAAAGAGTTAAAAAGGATCAAAGAGATGTTGGTGGATGATGGAATTGTTATGTGAAAGGTTACCTATATTATTCGTGTTATCACCATGTCAATAGGTGTATTGATTTACATGTTCGATTGATGAAATGTAACATTGTGGCACTAAGGTTGTGTGTTAATGTTGTTGGTAATTGATTGTGTTGATGTTCTTATGAAGATATCTGTGTAATAAAGTGATATATTTTCTATCCTAGAGTGATGGGATAAGAAGTGAGATGAGCGGGTGTGTTCATGACCCGATAATAATGAATCATGTGGGATCATGGTGGTTGACTAGGTGAGATGTTGGTTAGTAATACTTGAAGTGATGCAAAACATGACATGGGAGTTGGATGAAAAGATGTGAGAGTTGTGTCCGAAGTTGTTAGTATCAAGTGGATTCTCGAGAAGGAAAATATTTTAAGTAGGGTAGAGTTGTAACACCCCGATTTAATTAGAATTGTTTTATTTGAAATAATTAGACAATGTGATGTGTTTATGTGTGTTGATGAATTTCATGATGCATTTTGACAGGATTATTGGAAGATTAGAAGTGGTGAGAATTGTAGAAGTTAAGGTGATAGGGGGTGTTGTACCCCAAAATTTTCCCTCCCATTTTTTACTCCAGACATGCTCATTGAGGTCCTCAATTGCTCAAGGTTGACCAAAGAATTGATCAGATAAATTCTCCTCCTAAGCAATGAACCTCCAGCTAGGGTTTCAGTTTCCACAAAGATGTTTGGGTTACAAAGGCTCCAAATGATTTCCATGGTCCTTAATATGTCTTCAAGAATGTCCATGCCAAGTTTTATTCCTTACACTATAAATTTTCTCAGTCAACTGCTCAAGTGTTTGAAAATCAATTGTGTTAGGTCAAAAGTCAACTGAACTTTGACCAGGCATAACTTTCACATACTTCATCCATTTTGCCCCAACCAAATCTCATTTTGAAGAAAATCCAGTTCCCTACAACTTCTCCTTTATCCTCAAGTTCAAGAAATGCATCATTTGGAAGATACAAGCTCATACATTATAGCTTCCAATATAGAGGAAGGTTGCCACAACATCTTGAAAGAGGTTCAAAATTTAAAACAAATGATTAAGGAAAAAAACTGCAACATGAGTCGACACATACCCACATGAGTCAACTCATTCTAGTGACAAAACATGGTATGAGTCGACACATGGCCTTATGCATCGAATCATACTGTTATCCATGCCAAAAATAGAAGGATGAAAGGTGCACGAGTCGACACAAACGCGTATGTGTCGACACAAATAGGGTATGAGTCGACAAAAAGCCTCATTTGTCAATACATACTGTTATCCAGGCCCCAAAACAGAAGGGTAAAAGGTGAATGAGTCGACACAAAACGCGTATGTGTTGACACAAATAGGTGCATGAGTCGACACATCCCAA